TTTTTAGCAAATATTGTTTTAAAGAGCTACCAGAAAGTGCCCCAGAAAATAATTCCTGTGTTATCACCCACCCAAAGTAGTACAAAACACATTAAAAAGTCTCTTCTCTAGTGATTTTTCATATTTGATATCTGTTAAGATAAAACTAATGGTGTCAAGCAATATAAGGAAGTGGAAGATTAAACAAAATCTATCCTCTGCAAAAACAAAGCAATCAATATAACATTATCCTGCTGTAGTGTCTTTCCACTTGCTTTGATTTGTGGGTCCCTAGAAATTCTCTCATGAAGGTTCAGCATCCCCCCCCCGAAAACTTCCAAGCCCTAACTGCTGGAGAGCATTGGTGAAATTGCTTTTTCCACCTTCCTTCCTATGAATCCATGTCCTACCCAGAATCTGCAGACCACAGGCTGAAAAATACCATTCTACAGGATACCAGTTCAAATGTAACTAAGGCTAATTAAATATGGACCTTACTATTGTTATTATAATACTCTTAAGTCTGTCTTACCTGGAGAACCTGTTTTGCCACATCTGGGAAGCTCACACCAGACCTTCATCACTCTGGTCTCATCTTGCAGGTTTATCTGCTGCAGCAAAGCAATATCAAGTTCCTCTCTTGTGGAAAAAAAGGGTTTTATTTTAAAGGTAATTTCCCACTCTTCCTCAACAACCATAAGAAGAAATCACTGATCAAACTCAAACCAAAATTTTTATTCACTTTTTTCCCCTATTTTTGATGCTGCTTTGTGTTCTGTTTCATTTTGCAACTCTGACTGAAGTTAAACATTTCTACTGGAGAGGGGAACATTACCAGGTTTTAAGTGACTTAGTACAAGAATAATAGGAAAATAGGAATAAAGAGGGCTTGATATTTAAGGTACAAAATATTTTATTTCTGTAGGCCATATGCTGACACTGTCAACATAGCACTCACAAGACTTTGTAAAATTCAAGGTGAGAAGTTTAAACACCTAAACAGCTACAAAGTTTCTTCAGAATTTCCTTTTCATGAAAAAAATGGAAATATACAGTAGCTATGCTTGAAACTAGGGCAGAGGGCATTCAGAAATGCAAAAAATGTCAAACCACAAAAACTGTTTTTTTTCCAAGTTGTTCTACAGATCTTTTGAGATGCTGCTCCAAGAAATAACGAGCGGTTCATTCACTAACCCATCAGCTTGGGAAATATATGCAACACAAATTCATTTGTTTCCAGCTAATTGCACTTCCATTTCCTCCTCCTATCATTGCAAGGCTGTGCAGATGGGTTTGAAGTGGTGCTTCCCAGGCTGTGTTGCATGTGCCATCCCTGTTCCCAAACCCCATCACAGTGGTACCCAGCCCAGCTAGGAAGCACAGCAGCTTTCTTTGCTTGTGATGTTCTGGGAAAAAATTATTTGGGACCCACAGGTTTGAAACAGGAAAGGACTGACAATCAATCCTCTTATGTTTTATTCCTGACTTCTGTAGTTAGCACTCTGTACAGCTGTAGTCAAACAAATGAACTTCTCTACATCTTAGTTACCCTTTCTGTAAAATGAAGGTAATATTTATCCAGCTGGGATGCTGCAAGGAGTAATTAATGTGTACAAATCACTGTGAGTTCCTCTAACAAAGTGTAAATTGCATTAGTCCCCACAGAAACTGGTAATAGGTTTGTGTCTTCCTTCACTGAAAGTCTGACCTCAATCCCCTGGAGTAATCTTGAGGAAAAACTCTTCTTACTGTTTGTATTACAGCAGCTCATAGGACTCCTCCAATGCCAGAATCCCCATTGTGCTCAGGGCTGTACATTTGTACAGTAACATACACCCCACACTCTAGAGACCTGATATTTAAACTGAGGAAAGCTGGGAGAAAGGAAGCATTAGCCCTATTTTAAAGGTAAACAACCAAGGCACAGAAAGGAAGCATCTTCCTTGTAGTAAGTACCAGTGTAAGTCTTTTCACAAGACTTACCTTTCATTGACTTTCTGACTCAAGATGAATTTTCACTTTGCTGGACATGAATCTTTCTCGTTTTGGTGAGTGACAGATCAGCCAGATGGCAATGGATGGAGCTCACTTCTTATGGGATGCTCAGAGAGAGCAGAGTTTGGGCAAGTCAAGGCTCACAGAGGGGGGACACAAAGTGGTAGGATAGGTGACCACTGGTCTTGTTCTTCCTCTTATGCTATTTTGGAGTCCTGGATAAATTCAGTGTTCTAATTTCTTAATACTTTCTGGCATCTTTCTGCTAGGGGAAAAGAGAGAGCAAAAGAATCCAAGAAGGACTGGTTAAGTTAGTTTTGTAAATCCATGCATGGGGGAATGTGGATGCATATCCAACAGCTCTTCTAGCATTTGTAATGTTCTTTTTTTTTTTTTTTTTTTTGGCTGATATAGCTGTTAATTTCTTGTTGCTGCATCCCTGACTTGAAGAGAGCCATAAACTGTCTCACCACCGGTGTATTGGAATTTTTCATTTTTGGACTGATGAAATCACAGAGTCACAGAATGGGCAAGGTTGGAAGGGACCACGGTGGGTCATCTGGTCCAACCTCCCTTCTCAAGCAGGTTCATCCTAGAGCAGATGGTACATGATTGTTTCCAGACAGTTCTTGAATATCTCCAGTGAGGGAGACTCTACACCCTCTCTGGGCAGTCTCTTCCAGTGCACTGTCACCAGCACAGTAAAGAAGTTTCTCCTCATATTCAGGTGGAACTTCCTGTGCATCACTTTCTCCCTGTTGCCTCTTATCCTATTGCTTGTTACCACCGAGAAGAGTCTGGATCCTTCCTCTTGATACCCTTCCTTTAGATACTTGCATGAGGTAGACAATATCCACTGCTCTCCTCTCATCCATCCAGGTAGTTGTTTCATTGTAGAAGGCAATCAGGCTGGTCAAGCATGAGTTACCTTTAGTGAATCCATGCTACTCCTGATCAACCTTTTGTCATCCGTGTGCTTAGAGAAGGCCTCCAGAATGAAGTGCTCCATCACCTTCCCAGGGACTGAGCTGAGGCTGACTGGCTGGTAGTTCCATGAGTGCTCCTTCTTGCCCTTTTTTGAAGAGTTGGGTGACATTCACTTTCTTCCAGTCCTCAGGCACCCCTCCTGATTGCCATGACCTTTCAAAGATGATCATGAGCAGCTTGGCTATGGTGTCCTCCAGCTCTCTGAGCACTCATGGATGTGCTCATTCAGGGCCCATGGACTCATGAATGGTCCAAAAGTTGATTCCATTTTCCCCCCCAACATTAGAAATCAGTTTAAATCGTGCCTTTTCTGAAGGAAAAACAGAGCATAAAAAGAAAGTGTGTCAGAAAATTCCCTGCCAGTGATAATGGGCTGATGATCCCATTCACATTCTGTGTTTAGCCATTAAACAGTGCTCTGGGAAAAGCTGCGTGTTTCACAGGTACTGCTGATGTCTCACGGAGGAGACTGTGAATGACGAGGAGTCAATGACTAGCTTCCTGGCCTGCTGGTCCTCAAGTGCATCACTACTAAGACCCTTCTAATGCCAGTACTCAGATGGGTCAACAGACTTTTTGAGTGAAGATAGCACCATTTTCACTTCCCTGCTCTCCCAGAGGTCCACAGGCACTTATCATATGGAAGTCCACCCAGCAAGGGGAGCCCTTAATCCCCAGAGGCATGTCACACTGGTTTTAGCACCCAGGACGTAAGATAGGGAGGTAAGACCCAAGTCATCTCAACATCACTGGGATGAGATGAAGGATAAAACTTGGCATGGTCAAATGATTGGGGTGATAAAGACAGGATTAAAACTTCAGGTGGTGTAAGTAATTCCCACTTCATGGATTTTAGAGGACCTTGTTGCTGTGCACCAATAGAAGACCTCAGCCTCTAATGCCATTCCTTTAGTGGCCAGCAAACGTATGTTGGAAAGGAGCCATCAAGACAGAGGGCACCTTTCCTTGAGAGATCCTTCCAGAGCAGCCAGCAGAAGCTGAGAAGGACTTCCCTTCCTCGCCTTCCTTCTCCTGCCTGCTAACTGCGCACACTGCACACCTCTCCAAGCTGGGGTCCCTTTTCCTCTGGCCAACCTATGACCAGAGAATTGGGAACCATTTATAGGCGGTATCCAAAGACGCCTTTTTGAACACTGCATGTGCAAGGATGGGAGGAGGAGGGGAGGGGAGTGGGGGAAGAGGAGAGGTACAGACACAGCACTCCTTGGCAGTGATTTATAGACTGGGTCAGGCACAAATTGACTCGTATGCAAGAAATGTAAATGGAATCGAGACTTTTGATGGAGAAGCTCATTTTCAGACTTAAACGCTTTAGATTAAACACACTCACACACAAATGCTGGCGGGGAGGGTGTTTTATATAATTTACATTACAAATCAATTCATTATCCACAGAGGCAGGTTGCACTGATTTTCAAGGATCGGAGATTTGATGAAGAGGATTCATTTCAAGAAATAAACCTTTTAAATTAACCGCAAGATGAGGGAAATTTCTTTATTTAAAAAATGCGCCAGCCCCTTCTTTGTTTCTTTTATTATTATTAATATTATTTTCCATCCGGCTCTGGGTCATTAAGGAGGGTCCAGAAGTCACAGATTGCCTTTCTGAGGGAGGAGAGCTGAGAACTTTGAATGTCACACATTTTGTCTGGCTCCAAACCCTTCATTTATTGCAACACAATTTGTTACCTGTGGTTGGCTCTGCACACCATTGTGTGCTGTGCGCCAGGACTGATTTAGCAGGGAATGTCCTCTCCACCTTGAGCCTGAGAGGGGGAATATCCCTTGAGAGTGGATGTGGAAGTGTCGCAAAAGACAGACTTTCAGCTGTCTCAGAAGGAAAATGCCCCTTGAGCTGTGGGTGAAGTCCCCTCAAGCTTTGGCAGGGTGTGCAGTAAAAACCCTAGCTTTAACAAAGGCAGATGGTTTTATGAGGGGACATTTAAGATATAGGGGTAAACAAGTGGAACAAAAGGAAAAATGAGAACCAAGTCCTGACATCCCATCCTGCCCTACAGGTGTGCAGATCGCAGTGGACAATGGAGGCAAAGGAGGAGAAACGAAGATGACTGAAGGACAAGTGGTATGTTACTCTGTTCTTTCTTGGCAAGGCTGCAAAATACCACCTTTGAGGAAGACTCTTTCTCATTCCTGAAACCACTTGGGTTTAATTTGTTTCCCTTCTAGTAATTCCTGGCTCCAGCTTCCTTATAACTCTCAACAACTGCTCCTACAACCTGGTTGCAAATGTAGCATCTCAGTTCCCTAACATCCTACCTGGCTGCAGTACAGAGAGAGGCAAAAAAAGAGTGCTGGACTGAATGCAACCGCTTTTCTGTCTTTCCTTAGAAAATTATTTTTTTAAAGATACTTTCATATCAAAACCTAAATGGTTGGGTGTCTTTCCTAACTGAACAAGGGTCAATCTTCTAAAAAGACAACTGCTCACCTAACTGTAGACAATTACCTCAGCTGCATGGGATGAACCTGGGCCAGAGGCTTTTAACAGGTGATGGCTGGGAATGGGCAACTTTTGGGTCCTGGAGGTATCTGCATCTCTTAGGGTCCCAGCAAGACCTCCTGATCCAAACCCCAGTGTGGGGCCTTCTTGAAACCACCCTCCTCGTGAGAGGATCCTGGCCACTGGTGAGACTACATGGGTGGTGCACCAGTGTCTAAGGAGGGGAAGAGCAGCGCCTGCCCCATTTGAGAGTCCCAGCGCAGTGCCAGTGGGCAGGTGGCAAGTACCTGAGCTGGAGGGAAGCCAAGATACCAGGGTTAACAACCCTGATCTTGTGGAAAAAAAAAGCCTTGGGGTCTTTAATGGCCACAAATGGCTAAGACTTCTGCTTTATATCTCTTTTTTTTCTGCAGAGCAATTATGCACATTTTAGCTGGGGAGCTTTTATTCTCATGCAGACGGGATAGATAGCACAGTGTCCTCTCCCAAGCACGTTCAGATCTAGTCAGTCCAAGTGCACAGAACATGAGACATGTTTGACCTTCACAACTTTCCTTTACAGACCAGGAAGCTAAAACCCTGAAGGAATTTTCCTGAGTGAGTTTGTCCAAAGCAACATTCACCACCTCATTCAATATTTGCCTGCAAAAAAAATGCCAATTATTAAGAGACAGTCCTGGCTGGGCATCAATAGGCAGCCAGGTGTGAGAAGTTGAAGAGAAATACATCTCATTAATGTGGAATTGTTTTTAGGTTAATAATCTTGCGTTAATTTTCCTTTAAAATATTGTCTTTGACCGTTAAACGCTCGCACTGTTATAAAAAGAACGTAATAAATGATCTTGAAGCAAATTCTCCTGCCAAATGTCATAATTTATTTGCATAATTAGCTCTTAATTTTAATTCAATATGCAAATCCACGCTTCCTTTAAATTGCAGCAGCCTGTTTCCCAGCCCTGGCTGCCATGAATTTATTGTGAGGCGGCTGTTTGAAAAGGCAGCTTCACTGCCTTCTGGGGATGGCTGCCTGGGGGAGGGGGTGCCCACCGCCAACTCCAGTCACTTTTTGTTTGGGTTTTGTTTTGGTTCGCTTCTTATTAAGTTGGACCCTAGCCTGCTTCAATCCCTGAGCATTCCCCTTTTTCCCCCCAACAAGTCCTGTTTCCCTTTGTCTTCCTTCTGCATTCTCTCTTTTTTTTTCTTTTCCTCTGTGGAGAAGACAATGTTGATCCTCCATGTTCCCTGCCCCTTGCCCCTCTATGAAAGGCTCTGGCTCAAGTCAACCTGGCAACTGCTCTGCTCTCCTCCCCCCTTCAGCTCTTTCTTCCCAGCCCTTCCCTGTTGCATGGCAGCCCCTTGCTCGGTGCCTTTTTCCAGTGCCCTCCTACTTGTGAAAGAAGGTGAGAGGGAAAGGCTTGGCTTCCCTGTGTGGTTTCATCCCCAATTCCCCATCCGTGGCTAGAGCAGTTGCAGATCACCAGAATCCCATCTCACCTCCATGGCACTGGAGTATGGACTGTGCTCCATACTGAGCCACTCTAAACCCCCAGGCTCACGGCAGGGGAGCTCCAGTGGGGCCATCTGCACTGCTGGGGAGCAAGTGTGGCTGTTCCCCTACATAGTCATGCCTTGGCTGTGGAGCCAGAGCCAGAGCAGGGATGGTCCCCTGCCTCACTCCCTCCCTATCCCAGCATCTCTCTGTGTTTATTCCGAGCCTCTGCATCTGAGGGGAGAATGGGAGACTGAACAGCTCAGGCATCAGGCCACACCCAGGCACAGGTCACAGCTCTTTCCCAGTGCCCTGGCATATGCAGCCACCTGGCACCAGGCACTGCTCCTCTGATACAAGGAAAATATCCAAATAAGACAGTTTACAGGTTTCTTCTCTCTTCCCAATCCAACACTGAAACAGGATTTCAGAAACCACCCAGCCCCTCCACGTAGAGAGAGACCTGTGGACAGGTGGCTTTGAGAGGAAGGCAGAGAGGTGTTGGAGGCATGAATCCTGCTCCCTCTGTCCTCCTCCCCAGCTAACACAGGTTGTGTAACCACACCTGAAGCAGTGAGGAGCCCAGGCACTGCTCCTGGCAGCTCTCTCAGGTAGGCATGGGGCCATGGGAACCAAATCTCCATAGGTTTTTAGTCACTTTACCTCCTTGACAATGACCAGTCAGTGAGAGCTGTGGGTGCTGCATGCTCCAAGTCCCTCTGGCTTCACATCCCAGGATTTATCCCTGGGACCCAGGGAGCATGAAGGACGTCCAGAAACTCCTGCCCTTGCATTTCGTGGCACTGGGAGAAGAGTGGGAGAAATGGGGGATAGAGCAATGTGACCACAGAGTTTTGCACACAGGTTAGGGAATTAAGCAAAAGCGACAAATTAGCCTAGACAATAGAAGATCTTTTTCACTGGGGAAGGACTTAGGGGAGAGGGAGATAATGAAATGTTGCTTCATCAAAGCGGAGGCAGTTTGCAAGCTGCTCTCCCTTGTAACTCTATCGTGTTCAGATCCCAGGACGGACTGCAAGGGCCGGCAGCCATCCCTTGCACTGGTATCGGGTGCCTTCCCTCCCCTGAGAGTGTGGGGAGGGGATGATGGGGCCTTTGCAGAGGGAGGGTCTGGCAGGGCAGAGGGTTTGTTTTGGAGGCTGTAGGAAGGAGAGGGTGTTGGTATCTCATTACAGGCCTTAGATCTCTGAAGGGGAAAAGAAAATGGAAAAAAAAAACACCCCCTCAAACTCAAACCACAGGCCTTTGTTAGAAATGCTGTCCGGGAAGGAAGGAAGAAGACGGGAACAGCTCAAATTCAGTCCTTCGATAATTAAAGCTTGCAAAAGAATAAAAGGGGAGGGCAAAAAAATAAATAAAAAGGTCTTTCCCTCCTCCCACCTGCTCCCAAAACAGGGCTGCTGTGACTTTCCCGGGAACAAAGAGATGCGGTGAGAATGGGCTTTTGCTTGATCCCGCATTGGCTGGGAGGGAGCAGCGGGAGAAACGTGTGGCCCTGCAGATGGGAGCTCCTCATCAAAGCTGGGGAAAAATAGGGGGGAAATGTGTTTTTCTGTTTCACTGATCATCAGAGCAGGACTCTGACTTCCTGATCTGAGGAAAATTTGGAAACTGAAGACAAAAACATTTCCATTCCAAAACTGAGCAGAAAGAAGTCAAACCCCTGTGTTTTCTGCTTAGCAAAATAAAGGAGAAGGAAATCCAGCCACTGGGCAACCCACAGACCCTTCCTGCCTAGATTTGGCTGATCAGAGCCTCTTAAGAAATACATGTAAACGCAGCACAATTTGGGATTTGCTTTTGTGTCACAGCAGGGGTCTGGCAGGGGTCTGGGGGGAGGGAGGCAGGTCCCGGGAGCTCTGTGGGGGTAAGCAAAAGGGATTGGTGCATGACATGTAAAAGGCTTTCCACTGCCTTCAGCCAAGGCTACTCCTTTCTCCTGCACCCACCTGCTGCCTGTCTGGGGACCTCATGTGTATCTCTTACTGTAATGATGCTTCTGTGTCCAAGGATTTGTCCTTCTTTTACTTTATTTACTGCCTGTGTTACTTCTTACAGCTTCAGACCTCAAATACTGGTTTTCCCCAAGTGGACTCTGCTATTTTCCAGAGGAGGATGATGCCACTGAAACCTGGGCTTCCAACAAGTGTGTGGAAGCTAGGACAGAAAGGTGTTACTTCCAATTTTCCCCATGGCATCGAGCAATGCATATCAGTCACTCTCCTGTGCCTCAGTTTCTTCACCTAATAACTGGGGATATGCTCTCTGGGTCTGAAAAGTCTCGTGGAGGAACCAGCTCCTTACTGACAGGCACTAAAAATGTGCAGAGCACTCATGTCAGTTGTGTGCTTTACCAGATGCCAGGGCAGCAAGGATGCTGCTCTCTGCTGAATGCTACCACAACTCTCTGGCTTTTTGCAGAGACACAGCTCTGCAATCCCAGATTTTGCACCTCAAAACCCAAGAGACCAAAACCTTTGCACTGTGTGTTGCATGTTGCAGAGGTGGGATATACAGCCAACTACATGTGGCAGGAGCCACCATGATCCAAGTGTGGGGTTGCAGGCAGACCAAGCATTGCTCTGAACTCCTGTCTGCTGGAATGGAGCTCTGTTAAGATAAAGATAAATAAAAAACCCTAAAAGAGCTCAAGAAATAGAAAATAAAAGTGATACAAGGAGGCCATTTTACAACAGCTGATGCCATGACTCCTGGAGGCTGGTCTTGCAAGTCCAGCATCACCAGTCCTGCAGTGCTGCTGCAGGGTGACACCAGCTAACTGCTGCACCGGATTAGAGAGAGATCAAAGCATGCTTTCTGCCCCTGCCACAGCCCTGCTGGGTAATCTGGGGCTCACGTCTCCAAGGGCTTTTTTCCACCTGCTTGGCTCATCTAAATCAGAGCTGTTGGCTGGAGACAATCTCTCACTTGCCTCGGATGGGCTAGGATCCGTGTGTCATCTGGCACCTTGAGGCTCTTTGGGAGTGCAGCAATGGGCAGTTTCCCAAGGTTGATGGAGTTGTGGGCTTTGGTTGCATTGCTTAAACAAGCAACCTTACTCTGCTCCCAAACTGCGTACTTACTTCTAGGGACCAGGAATATTTGCACCCTATAGGGCTAAATGAGGAAAAAATACCCCATATCTCTCTCCCCATCCTGCCTGATCCCCACAGACCAGCCTGGTGCAGCTCCGTGGTTCCCTGGTGCTCAGTGCCCTCTGAGTCTTCACACTGTGAGGGCTCAGGACATGAAGCCAATCAAGCAGTTGGATTGCCTTAACACGCCTTAGTGCTCTATAATACCTGCCATTCTCCATGGTTGAATCTGTTTCTGATGCTTGCCATATTTGAGGGTTATACAGCTGCACTTTTCATAGCCCATGCTGCCCTTCTGCTAAATGCTGCATTCTGTCTTGCTCAGTTAATGGTTAAAGTGGTTGCCACATCCAGCCAAGGCTGGCCCTTTGGCCACCTCCCTGGCTGGCCTAGGAGGAGGGGGCTGGCAGGACTCCCCCCAGCCACCCCAGCTCCCCAGGAGCGTTCCACACAACGCCTGTGGAAGTGTACAAAGTGTCAACCTCAGCGTAGTTTTTAACCTGGAGTGATAGCTTTACTGATTTGCCACTTTACTACTCTTGTTAATGAATTTTTAATCTTCTTAATGACATTAAACACGGAAAGTAATTAAGGAAAACAAGTTTGAAACTGCTGACTTAAACCCTTTATTCAGAACTATTTAATGTAGAATTAATTTGATTTTGCCCATTATTCAAATGAACACATTACCTTCCTGTGCATTGGCCTCTTTTCCTTTTTTTTCCCGTGTGTGTGTGTGTGTTTTGTTTTATTAAATATATCTTACTATGCTTTGTCCTTTTTGCTTAGAGGTAACCAGAAAGTTCCTCCCTCACAATGACAGAAAGGGTCAGCCTTTGGCATCTCTCATGGGTCTTGTAAAGTCTTCTTGCATCAGGAGTTCAACTGTGGTTGGGAGTGGAGGTAGCATGCCTGAAATACCAGGTTGCTACAACCTGCTCAATTAGGAGAGAAAGGAGCTTTGCTTCTCAGTGTGATCTGCTGGATTGCATCCTTAGCAAAGGGTGTCACATCTACTGCAGAGAGCAAGGCCACACTGATTTACACCAGACTGCCTGGCCCTGCGAAGAAGAGAGTCTGATGTAAACACCTGGGGAAAAGTAGATGCTTAGTTTTGTCTTACAGTGGAAGAGAGGGGTCCTTGAAACTTGTAAATACCCTTTCATTGGCATCACAAGCTAGACCCTTTCTTTCC